AACGAAGGAGAATCGGACCCGCTCGAAGAGGCCGAACGGGACCCGGACCTAGCCGCGGTACCCGAATGAGGGCTATGGTCGCCCGAACCGACCGGATGGGGACCGTGATCACCCGACTCGACCGGATGAGGGTCACCCATATCCGTACAAACCAAAGACGCGCCATGACCCGAAATCGAATCGGGCACGTCCGAAATAGAAGGAACATCATCAAGGTCAAAAGGGTCATTTGGGCGCGAGTCTCCAAACCGTTGAAGCTCGTCCCAAGTAAACACCCCCTCGGCCTCATCAATCAAATGAGGAACACGGGTATCGGAAGGAGGATCGAAAGGAATATCTACATAAATGGATAAAACGAGAATGGCATAAGGACCCATGGACAAAAAAAACCGACCCAACCACGGAAAAATCAAGCTACCCAACCTAAGAATCGAAAAGCCAAACCAAGCAAAAGTGCATACCATAAGAGAAGAGCACAACAACAAGTAAGGTAATGAAAGTAAAGCCCTTACCCATGGTTCGAAAAGGCCGAAGCTTGCTTGAACTTGGTGGAGGGACGCGACCGGTGGAAGGTTGCACCGTAGAGGGCTTCCCGATCCTAGGGTCAAGCCGCCGTGTAGAAGCACTCACGAGCTAGTACACCGGTTGGGAGGAATTTGGCAAGAAAATGAGAAGAATTGTGAATGGAGAAAAGAGTTAGAAAAAAATGTATGAAGAAAGAAGATGATGTTGGGGAAGGAGAGAAGAAGAAGAGTGTAAAAGAGAAAAAGTAAGGAGTTGGTATGGAAAGTGTTGGGTGAATATGGGCCACAAGATTTGAGTGGATAGGATTAAGGTAGGTGGTCATTGTTGGGGAAAGAGGGAAGACATTAGTCAAATTTTATTCAAATGCAAAACATTGTTGGGGAAAGAGGGAAAACATTAGTGTAGGCGTTGGCGACCGCCCAAAAACCGTATATTTACGACTACTCGAATTTCGTCTCGCATACTCGTAAATAGGGGGGAGTAGTTGATATGGGTTATAGTACCGACCCGGTCCTATATAATAAAATCCCATGATAAAAGCATAGGGCCGAGCCACGCAAGGGCTTCGACCCCTCGGTGTTGGGTCGAGGGGAGGCTCGACCGGTCTCATGGGTCGAGCGGGTGCACGAGGCTCGACCAGTCCTATGGTCACGGTGGAGGGTCGAGCCACGTACCGAGCGTGAGAAGTCTAGGGCCGAGGGTCGAGCTATGCTAGGGCTTCGACCCATCGACCCAAAAATTATGGTAATAGGGGTCGAGCCTTGTT